TTATTCCTGCAATTGTATTAAAACGCTCAAATATTATTGAAAATTGGTCTGTGATTGAGGAATACTGGCCTGACTATAAAACTGACATGCATTTGCATGTTCCCTGAGACATCAGTGAGTTTCTGCAAGACTGGAGCATTGAGCAGGGGTGAGTGTATTCAGCGGAGCGGCACTGAGGGCAGAAAGCTAGAGTGGGCCGTATATTTGACTGTATTAGTGCGTGTGCACAGGGTATCATTCTGGCACTGAAAATCTTAGGAAATTTAAGACAGACGCTTCCAGAGAAAAATCACTAACCTTTAGACTCAAATCACAGGGAACAGACTTTGAGTTCTAACAAAAGGTTAAACTTGCTTCTATCTTTCCTCAATTTTAATGTTTTCGTTGTCTGACACCAGAAATGCCATGACTGAATTCTAAAAGGACAAGTGTAGATGGGAATATCCCCAGCTTTCCCCAGCCCCTCTCAGCAGATAAAGTATTAGTACAACCTGCCGTTCTGAGCTCTCTGACCTTTCAGCTCCCAAACAGCTGTCTGAGGTCTGTTCCCTCTACTTGTAGAGCAGTGGTTCTCACCCCGAGGGTGATTTTGTTCCTCTCAGGAGTTCTGATAGTATCTGGAGGTATATTTGGTTGTTATAGCCTTGCAAGGGGCGAGGGTGGCAGCGGGGGTGGGGGTGGGGGGAGGCATACTACTGGCATCTAGTGGGTTGAGGCTGGGAATGCTGCCAACTGTCCTACAGTGCATAGGACAACTCCCACAGTGTTAATGGTGTTAATAGTTACTAGTGTCGAGGTTGAGAAACCTTGCTGAGGGTGTTTTCAAGGTCCAGATGTCCCCAGGGAACCTGGCTGACTGCCAGGAAGGTGCTCAAAGATGCTACTTCCCTCATAGTAGAAATGGTAATCACAGGTCAGGGGAAGTTCTCCTCAGCCTTGCAACTTCAGAAAATCACTCTCAGGTGTCCCAGAGCCGATCCAATTCTAGGAGGTTGCCTATATGAAAACTCACAGGAAACTGCAGAAATAAACTTCTTCCTGTTGGATTAAGTCCCACTAATAGGTAGAAACAGTGGACAGAATGGACACACGTGCTGGTGTGTAGCTTACCTGCTGTCTGTTGGCAAGGTGCATAGGGAGCCTGGGGGAGCCCGGAGTCAGAACAGTAGAGGTTCTGGCTATTTAGTGGTACCTGAAACTCTACTTTTGAGATGTCTTATCCTCAGGGTTGGACATGCTGAATCTTCAGGGTAAGACTCTTCTTTTTTATTTTTTAAAGAATTATTTTTATTTAACTTTAATTCATTTATTTATTTTGCTCTGACCAGAGAGGGACAGAGCAAGAGAGAGAGAGAGAGAGAAAGAGAGAGGGAAAGTGAGAAAAAAAGTCACTAGGTCTGGGCCTTAAACCATAGTTGGCCACATGGGAGTCCAACACCCTTAACCACCATGCTACCTGCCAGCCCCAAGGGTAAGACTCTTCTTTGGCTAGTGATGGGATGGGTCTGGGAAACCACTTTTGCCTTTCCCACTTCCCCAGCCTGCCTCCACAATGAACTAACTGCCTTTCATTATCCATATTGATTCTTTTTATTAATTTACTCCTCAGTCTTGTTAACTTGGAGAAGAGTTGGTTCAAAAAATGTGTTAGGCACAACTATGTGACAGGGATAATTAACATGAAGATTGATTATAGGAATACTGTCCTTAACTGGAGGCTTTCTCAGTCTAGTGAGTGTCACTGACATGACATTTCAGAAGAATTCGGGCAGAAAAGTGAGGAGACAGGCAGGACAGGATATTGCACAAGCATAGAGGACACAAACCTCTGCTGCAATGTCACTTAGAATGTCTGCTTTGATCTATCAGGCCCCAATTGTGTATAGTTTTGTAGGACACCCTTTGTTGTGATGCCGAGTACTTGAGGAAGGGAGTTGGGGGTGGTTATGGTTCGTGTGGACTGTGCTGTCTGTTTGATGTTACCTGATTTCTATTGCAAGATTGGATGTCAGGTCTCTGGGTGATGAAAATGTCCAATATCCCACTTAATCTTTGCCTTTTCCCTCTCAATAATAGAGGTGGTCATTTTGTACATTTTTGAATGCTATGGTCAACTCACCAGAAAATATAGCCAGGCTGGAGGGAAGTGCGGGGACGAAGCAGAGGAGTTACTGCAAAGAGGGAAATTCTGCAGAGGGCAGCAATACTGGAGGGAGCTTGATGTGTTTTCCCGGGATCTTACTGAATCACTCAGCAAAGTCAGAAACCTGGTAAAGGGCTAAATCAAAAAAACCCCTCCTTTTTTTTTTTTTTTTTTTTTTTGAATAGGTCAACATTGATTGGGATGGTAAAAACTCAGAGAAATAGGAACACTGGTGGGATCAGTTAGCAGGAAGGGGAGAGTTATGTTAGGTGCACATATTTTTCTTCCCTGAAACCTCCTGGTTTGGGTCATTTTCTGCCCACTTTCCCCTATTTTTTGACCTTCCCTATCTAAGAGAGATCTTGATTTTCTGCACTAACTGAAATCAAGATCAACCCACATTTGAATCCTGTCTCTGACACTCCTTAAATGCAGGACTTGGGAAAATTAGCCTCTCTGAGCGGTGATGTCCCACCTGTGAAATGTGAGTAATAATTCTTACCACTCACAATGACTGAGGATAGAGGGGAAGTGTGTAAAACTCCTAGAAAATGACCGGCATGTCGTGGGGATTCAGAGAGAGCCGGCTATCATTTATGTTGAGAAATCATACTTACAATATGAATGTTCTCCAGGGGATGTGAATAAACATAAATTCACAGTAAGAGGTATTTTGTGGTGTTACATCCTTTTTGAAAATCCAATTTTATAGGATATGAATCATGATGATAGAAAATGGGGCAAGGAGGTTAGGGCACTGGATTCTCACATGGCCGACCATGGTTCAAGTCTCGGACCTGGTGACTTGCTTTCTCACTTTCCCTCTCTCTCTCACTCTTTCTCTGGTCAAATTAAATGAAAAAAAAAAAGATGAATAAAATTAAATAAAATAATTCTTAAAGAAAAGAGAAAAAATGGGGCAAGGTATAAGTATCATTAAGTTTTAGGAAGAGGAAGAGAGAAAGGGACAGCCTAGGAAGTCCCCTTCATGTCATTCATTGACTGAGGCTCTCTAGGTACCAGTTCTGTAAAAAGGATACACTTGGCTTACCTCACAGTCTGTCTCTGGCCAGTCCTGACCTTTTGGTGGTGAGCCAGTGCAATGAACTTCTAGACAGTGCCTGGGGTTTCTTAGAGTGCTGAATAGCCTAAATACTTTGCTATTTTTCTTTAACAATTAACAGAGTGAATATTAATGCTGCTTGCAGTTAATTATCTCCCAGTCATATTAATCCCACCTTCTCTTAAAAGTGCTACAGTTGGAAAGGCAACAGATAGAGAAAGAAAGATTATGTGTGTATGTTTTATATATATCTATATCTATATATAAAGTTTTTGCTATAGGGCATGTGTGCTTGCCAGACAGATGAGAGAGAGAGAGAGAGAGAAATCACCCCCTGGAGGGATGGTCTTGCTATAATCCCTTCTCCATTCTCCTCTTAGGATTTGGGCACACACGTACAAGCACCTGTGCTTGATTCTCAAGCTGCCAGGTCCCAGACTCAAACTGTGGAGTAGGCCATGTGAAATCAGTGCCTTAACCTCTACGCCACCTGCTGGCCCTGTGCTATATCCTTTCAAAGGTGCAGAGGATTTTTGTGTTTTATTGGAATGTAAATATCTTAAGCTGACCCAATGGTTGCAGGAGCAGATAAAGAAGAAGGAAGAAGAAGAGAGGAAGGATTTTAGCTCTTGATTTTTAAAAAATGCCTGTTGGGATTTCTCCTCTTCTGCTAAGAGTACCAGCTCAATCCAGTTTGGGTAGAGCTACATTTAGTCTCTAAAATTTTTTCTTTATCATATGTTTTTGGGGTGGAAATTTACTTCCTGTAAAGCCTGAATGTGCTGAAGGATCACTCTGCCTGTCATTGGGACCAATTTGAAGATGTGTTTCTACTTCACTCCCCCTGTACTGCCACCTTGCCATTGTTAGGACACTGACTTGCTATTTGGTTTTGAGTCTGTGAGCTTTTAGGACATTGAGGACAGGCATTTCATCTGGCTTGTAATCCCAATGCCTAAAATAATACCCAGTCAATCTTAAACCATAATGAATATTTGGTTAATGACTGACATAGCCAGAGCACTTCTTTCATGTCTTTTGTTCAGAATCAATATTTTCTTCTTTTTTTTTCCACCCCCACTTTTGACCTGGTCTTGATAGGAAAACATGAAAATCAATGGAAGGATGCTTAGATGCTAGTACAAATCTATGGGAATACATCAACAAGAGGCAAGCTTATCTGGTTGAGAATTGGATTTTTTAGGGGGCCTTTCTTTAATTTATTGAGAGACAAATCAACATTTGTCTTGATTCTGTTTTAGCATGTGTAGTCATTTCTGATCTGTGAAATATAACAATGGACAAACACAGCAAAATTGAATTCGGTCAGCCTTTGAAATCTATTGATTTCAGCTTAGAGCAGCAGTGTTAATTCTGTTAGAGCAGTAACACCCAGAAACTGGTCTCTGAAATGGATTAAAATATGCTCATTCAGAAGTTTTAAGCGTATTTTCGATTAATTAGCTGGAAGAACGACATTCCTGTGGGAAACTCTGGGAGATGTGAATGGCTCCCGTGTTAATTCTAGAGCCTAGTCTTTGCATGTTTCACTGGCCCATGTCCGTGGAACCACCCCAAGCTCCATTAAGTTCTGAAAGTTTGGAAGCCTATCCATGTGCCCAGTAAAAGAGATGGTTTCACATGGGGAAAAGACTACCCCTCCCTGAAAGTTAGATGGGGCTCTAAGATGTGAGAATAATCAGTGAAGTGTTCACAGTGCTGATTCTGAGCTAGAATGTGTTGGGTATATTTCCTCCTTGGAGTTACAGCTTGGTTGATGGTTTTTTTCTGCAGGTTAGAGTGATTTTCCAGGAATTGCTTTGGCATATACAACAAGAGAAAAATATTCTTCTCTTTTTCCTGGCCACTCAATGTGCACCACACATTCAAGTGAAGGAAAAAAGGCACAGCTTCTTGGATGACGATGGATATTCCACTGGGCAGGATGAAGGCAGAGTGTGTGACATCGCCGCCACAAGGGTAAGAGTTGCCTCTCTCTGTCATTTCTTTATTTATTTTTCTGACTATCCACTAGTTATCAAGGGAAGAAGAGAATGAACTTTACAGTTATATACAAAGAAAAGGAAATCAGTATGTTATAAAGATATGGACACCCTAATTGCAGCACTGTTCATAATAGCCAAAATATGGAAGCAAGATAACTGTCTATCAACAGACAGTGGGTAAAGAAAAAGTGTTGTATACACTCAGTGGAATACTGTGCAGCCATTGAAAGGATGAACTCCTGTCATTTGATGGTAAATGGGCAATCTTGGAAGACATTATGCTAAGTGAAATAAGGCACACTCAGAAAGAGACATGTTCTTACTCACAGGTGGAAACTAAAAAAAAAAAGAAAGATTTCATATGCATGCATGCCCAAAATCCCAAAAGGAGAATGGAAGAGAAGGGACTGTGGCATGGCCATACTCCCTAGGGAGGGTGATTTCTCACTGTCTTTCTGCTTCTCCAGTGAGGACACACACCTTATAGCAAAAATCTCTCTGAAAAGAAAAAAAAAATGATTTCATAAAAGCAGAGTGATAGAGGATGACTACTAGAAGCAGGGAAGGATTGGGGAAGTGGATAGAAGGATGTTGATTAATGGGAGAAAAATTACAGGTAGATAAAAGGATCAGTGTCTAGTGTGTAAAATACAGTAGGGAGAATAAAGTTAGCCACAACTTACTATAAATCTTTGAGTAACTAAGAAGAGGATTTTGAATAATCTTAACACAAAGTAATGGCAAATGAATGAGATGAAATAATTACCTTTATTTAATCATTACACCTTGTATTCATGTGCTGGAAAATTTTATTGTCTTCCTGCAAATATGTATGATTATTACATGTGAATGAAAGAAATGAGTGCCGCAAAGCTAGAATTGGCGGTCTGGCTCAGGTCAGAGTGGGTTGCTTTTGGAAGTACTGGTCCAAAAGCAGATTTTTATTTGATCCACATAATGTTTAAAACATATTGATCAATTATAATTAAACTTGAGGTATTCCACATAAAAATCAAGTTTCCAGCTTCTCCTGAAACACTGGACATGTCTATACTGGGCCTTGGTTCCCAAGAAGCATTCTGGTGCTGAGTAGCCTCTGCCCCTTGTACAAAACCATGGGTTGTTCACCACCATCTCCAACCAGCCCATCTCATTTGTTTGATTTACATATGTGACCACTGGGAACATTTAATTTTGTCATATTGGGTCTAGGTCTTTTTACTAGTTTTTTGACAAAAGTGGTGATAGCTTTTGTTCATTCCTATAGATAAAAGCAAATGTGTTTTACTAGACTGTGGGCAACAACAAGCATAACGGACTATCCCTGCTGAGAGCAATGCATGATCCCTTCCGTGGAGGAGCACAGAGTCTGGAATAAGCAGCCATTAGACTTGTGGGGTGGAGGGCGGGGAGAATGGTAGACAGATTGCCATACAATGTGGCAGGTGCAAAATAAAGGTTACAGGAAGGCCTGTGGGAAGTGAGAAGAGCCCAGGAAGTGGGGAAAGGAGAATAGTTAAGCCGGCGCCTAGGTGCATTGAAATTCTCAAGTCCTTCCTGGGACCCCAAAGCTTTACCTTTACACATACTTGTCTGTGGTTCCTTCATGTACCATGGCTCAGTTGCAGATAAGTTGGGGCATTTGTCACTCTCTTGTGACAGAATCCACATTTGTTTGTTTGTTTGTTTGTTTCTGGTTGAAAAGTTATCATCTGTGATGCTTTGCTTTTTACAAATAGAGCAATATTCTGGTTGTTTAGCTCCCTATCACTCAGCCTTCTCAGCAGCGTCGGCTTGAAGATGAGCTGTGTGGATTAGAGATCCCTCTAGTTTCCTAGAGGAGCACTTGCACTAATTAAAGACGCAGAGGGAAAGGGTGCATCTCTAACAGGAGTGTACCAGCTGGAGGGAGCAAGAGAGCGGAAGGAAAAAAGAGCGGGAAGGGGGAGATAAAAATAGCATCGTATCAATCTCTTAATTTTAGAAAAAAGCTTGATTTGTGTCTTGTGCTTCATGTTTTCAAAAGACTTTTCATTTGCTCCTTTATCCTTAAGGTGGGCTTATTATCCTCTTTTATAGATCAATAACCTGCCTACCCAAGATCATGTGGTTGGGAAGAAGCAGCTTTTGGAATTCTACCTCTTGCCATGTTTGATAGTTGTCTCTGATAGTTCAGTATGTGTAAAGGGACATAGTAGATTCATTTTCTTTAGTTCAGTATTTAAGATGTGAGTTCAAGGGCCATCAAGTGGTGTGGAGGTTAAGGTGGCTAGATCCCCACATGGCTGGCTCTATGGTTTGAGTCCTTGAATGGCAGCTTAAAAAACACACCAAGGGGTGCATGTGTACTTGTCCCAAGTCCTGAAAAGAGAATGGAGGAGAAGGGATTACCACAAGGCCATCTCTCCTGGGTAGGGGGGTGGCATCTCCCCTAGGTGGTGGTGGGGTGGTAGGGAGGTGATTTCTCACTTTCTTTTTCTCTTTCTTTCTCTGGTGAGCACATGCGCCCTATAACAAAACTTAAAAAAATATTAAAAAGGTGAGTTTAAGTTATGAATTCTCCAAAATAGGGCACCTGGGACTGTGGGGACTGCCACGACTTGTGACATTGGTGTGTTGTCCTCTGGGGTTCATGCTATCAGGACATGTCAGATGTGAACAGACCTGGGAGGGCATTTTCTTGTAAGTCAGTTTGGCCAATGAGACTCACATGTTACATCAAGGGGCTGGGCTGAACTGCTTTGGAAGGGTATGGGAAGGAATGGCTTCATGGAGACTCATGATGCCCAGACTATGCTGATCTCTTTTAAAACTAGGGCCTAAAAAGTTTTTTGAAGTTTCTTGTGTTCTTCAGTCTGGTTCTGGGCCTGACCTTCTAAATGTTTCAAGAAAAGCTGTTTGTTTCTGAGAATTGCACTGTTGTAAAAACACTCTGATTCTTGGGGGCCTAAATTCAGGACCGCCAGTGTTTCCATTTCTAAGCTCACAGTCAGGGTGGATAGTAGCACTGGCATTTTGTCATGCTCCCTGCTCTTCTCTGGCCCATCACTGATTTCTGATTTTCTTGCCTTTTATGCTGCTTATACCAAATACACAGGGAGCTTACTATAAGAGAAGATTGTTACCAGCCAGGTGGCTGGTATGAGGGTGCCCAGGAGAAGACATGGTGTGAGTTGAGTTTAGATTTCCAATTCTATTTACAATTGCTTGACCTTATTTGGTATATTTTTATATGGCATGACCAGAAATTGAATTAAGCTTGACCTGCCTTTTTTTGTAGTTGTTATTCTTTAAGTTTTGCCAGTGGAGAGACAGAGAGATAGAGGAAAAGTGAAAAAGTATCCCCTATGGAGAATGGTCACACTGAAATCTCTTCTCCTCCATTTCTCCCTCCTTTTGGGATTTTGGACACTCATGAACATGCATCTGATGTGTTTTTCAAGCCACCAGGGCCAGAACTTGAACTGCACATTTGGCAATGTGGGATCCTTAACTATCCCTGCATGGCCTGACCTGCCCTGCCTTACCTTTATTTATTATTATTATTATTTATACATTCAATCACTATACATCATTTAGATTGTAAAGAGATTTTACCCAACATGATATAAGCCACACACCAGGTGAGTTGAGAATGCTATACACGACATTATCAACAGGCCACAAACATTTGTGGGCAAATGTCTTACTTCTCCATTTCCTCCCCAAATATCCCTTCCTTCACTCTTCCCCTCTTCCACTCTCCTTCCACTTTGTCCTCAGTGGCCATAACAATTTTCAATGCTTCTATGTCCTCCAGTCTTTTAGTCTCTATCACAGAGTGTAGATAGTTGGAATATATTAAGTGGAGACATACAATATCTCTGTTTAATAGCCTGACTTTTAAAAACACCTAAGACTTCTCTCACATTTAAAGATTGAAAGAAAATTCCTTTTTTAAAATTTATTTTAATTTATTTATTTTACATTAATTCACTGTACATCATCACAACATACAAAATGAGATTTCCCATCCAGAGTATGTTGTATATTGGCTTAATCAATAATATTACTGTACATGTTATCACCAACCAATAAGTTTTCCTTCTTGTTTCTTATATATTTTGCATTTCTCCCCCTTGATTCCCTGCTTCTCATCCTCTGCCATTTCCCACCCTCCTTTCACATTGCCTCTGGTATCTAAAGTTGCTTTTCATGCCTCTTTTTTTTTTTCACATTTTATTGATGTACAAAAAAATCTTAATGAAATACTTTCAATAGCAAATTGAGCTGACATGTACCTATCTGTGAACACATGTTTGACTTTAGGCATAAGACTCAATGAGAGGTAGCCCTAAAAAATGTATTCTGCTTCTAGACTCTACAGTCCTATAAAAAAATTAAATGTAAAAAAGTTCCATAAAAAGAAAAAGACTCATTGAGTAGAATGAAAGTATTATAAAGAAGCACATAGCTGAGGTTATATAGCTGACTGTGGCCATTAAATAGGTATTTTTAAATGTATTTTTTAATTTCAAAAAAGGCAGTTTTAGCTTTAACAATTAAATCACAAAATGTTAAGAGACATTTTCTGAAGACTTAAAGACAGGAAAAGGTTATTATTCTATTCAAATAGTAAGTTGATGACCTACCAACAGCTCAGGAGGAGACAAAAACCCCTTAAATCTGGAAAACAAAGCATAGGAGAAAATTAGTCATCTTTCAGTCAAAAGTCATAAATTCTATTTCACTGGTTAAGTCTCATGTAATTAATCTCTCTTCTGCCGTGGTTAGATTTTTCCATTTAAATTCTGAAAGTTAACCTTCAATTCCAGACTTGTCTCTACCATTAAGTTGGCCCTTTTCTTGGTTGTTTTTTGGACTCTTATTTCTGTGTGTGTGTCTTTAGTTTTCCTATTATAGCACTCCCTTCAGAACTTCTTGGAGAGCTGGACTGGTGTTGGTAAATTCTTTCAGGTTTTGTTTATCTGAGAA